GATTGGCTAAAATAAATCCTGCTGACCTGGTGTGTTACGTTGTTGCCAATTTCTGTATTCACTGACCCTTTATTTTGTGCCGGTGATTTATAATATTATAAAGTGACACCACACGGGCAAGAAAGTAAATTTTTTAACCAGCCTTAAAAAGACGGTAAGGAGCGTAAAGAGCAGAGTTACGTTCATTTGCTGGGCAAGGTGATCTGGAGGCGCTATTAATTGAGTTCATTTTTCTTTTAAGTTTCTAGATTCATGGGACCTTCCACAGGCATGAATATGACCGGAATGGGGACCTTAACTGGCATGGCGGACGCCGCCAAATCGATGGCACCTTTACACGCGGCTCCTAGGAGAAAGAGACGGGTTCTTTTCTCACAGGCTCAGGTCTACGAGCTTGAAAGACGATTCAAGCAACAGAAATACCTCTCGGCGCCCGAAAGGGAGCACCTGGCGAGCATGATTCACCTCACCCCGACCCAGGTCAAAATCTGGTTTCAGAACCACCGCTACAAGATGAAGAGGCAGGCCAAGGACAAAGCGTCGCAGCAGCTGCAGCAGGAGGGTAACTTGTGCCAGCAGCAGCAGCAGTCGCCGCGGCGGGTGGCGGTGCCGGTGCTGGTGAAGGACGGCAAACCTTGTCAGAATGGGTCCAACACGCCGACACCAAGCCAGCAGCAGGTCCAGCAGCAGCAGAACGGCTCCGGGGGTGTCCTCCCAGTTTCCAGCAACTCACTCAGTCAACACCAGAGCCAACAGGTGAACCCCTTAGCCCAGGCCCAAGACCTAGAGGAAATGTCACCAAGCCCTCCATCTCTACACAGCCAAATCAGTAACATGGCTCAGATAGACACGTCTACTGTAGATTACACCAGTAACATGGTCAGCTCAAACCTGCTTTATGGCAGAACATGGTAGGACAGACCCTTGTTCGATGTGATTTGATTTTTATTTTTTACGCTGGAGATGCACACGAGGCCAAGAGCAAAAATAAAACATGTATCATGTTTGTATTTCCTGCTGTGAAGACCATAGCCTTCCAACGACGAGAAGGACTATATATATTTAAGAAGACCGCCTATTTGGGGGTCATCATTTCCTGACTTTTACTGCGCGACACTTTTTGAACACTAACGAAAGGGTTGCCGGTGAAACTATGTGTGTTGTTGATTTTTATTTTGGGAGGGGGCGGGGGGGGGCGACTTCCTAATGATGTTAATGTAGTAAACGCTGTTAACAGGAATGTGAATGCTGCTCTACATTTGGTGCCCAAACGACGTGGGGAATGGTACGAGCAAAAGAGAAACGGGAGGCGGGGGTAAACAGTTCAGGTATTAACCTTTCTAAAGGTTACTGTAAAACCACAATACTTACAGTATTCTACCCGATATTTTATGACATAAAAATATTGTAAAAAATTAGAACTTTAGAATTAACAGAAGTAGAAACTGTATATTTGGCTAACACCGAAGAATGAGATTACTGTATTATACTGTTTTAAAGGAAAAAATACTTTTTTTTTTCCTTTTTGTAATTTAAAAAAAAAACGAAGACTCGCGATGGCTGCTGTATATATGTTTCAAACCCATTGAACGTTAACAATAAATCACTTGAAGTGCAAGCTATTTCTGAGGAATTAATTTTATAAGGATCTAGATGGAGTGCATTTTCATTATAACCTGATTGAAAACAAATTGAGTTGCAATGTAAGGTCGATGGGGTGGATCCAACATTATCCACGCGCGAAAAAAGCGGCAACGTAACGAGTATGTAGCCTTTATCTAAACAATGCCTTACACTTAGGTTTCTGCTGATAAATGGGATCGAAAATTATTTTAAACAAAGAAATCTCATTCAATTTAAGTAACAAAAGAAAGGGGGGAACCTTGGATTAATTTTTCTCAAGATGGTAATCTTCTCGTTGGCCTGTTCGTAGCCATCTTTGCGCGTATTGAGCCGTAACTGCAGAATTAAAAATTAATTTTGTTTTGAAATGCAAATATCCAATAGCAATATTTCCGTATAAAATTAGACTTTTTCGGAGACTGACTGAAAACTGTAACAGTTTTCTATTTTTAATAAAATGAAACCCAGTTACCTCACGGATTATTCTAATGGTTTAATGGACTGATGTGATTCATGTTTGTGTAAATGTATATATTGTAAAAAAAAAAAAACAGATATGCCACGAACTACTGCCGGAATTGCTGGTAATTAGGATAAATTATGTAGTTAACCCTTTTAAGTGACTGTTGGACATTTGTGTTGAAATACTGTACTGTATTGATGTTGCGAATTAATATAGCAAGCGCATTAGCGACATGATGGACATAACTCATCTCGCCATGTAAAAACCGTAACAAAACCGAAGGTAAACATAACAAAAGAGACACAGCTGAACCTGAAACTAATCAATCGATACCATCTCACCCTTTAAAATAAATGTGCAAGTTCACAGTGCTATTAATTAAGGAACCCTCACGGTAAAATGAACGCAATGTGTTTAATATGACGAAATCACTGGATGGTCGTCTTTACACTAAAGGATTCCTGAAATTTGAAATTATTCGATGTTTTTTTTAAAGAAACGGAGTATTATTATAGATTCTACGTTTATGAAATTCCAAGAAGTTTTAGATAAATTACTTAAATAAGAATATTAGTAAAACTTTACGCCAACATACAAAACTATAGGCAACATTGCAGTGCAATATTAACTAATGCCACCGAGACTACTGCATACGATTTATATTATGTAACAAAAATAAAAAAAAACATTTTTCTAAAAAGCTATAATAGTATATTATCAATTGTGACGAAGGACTATACACATGGAAATTATTTTAAAGCTTATTTCTCGTTTAATCAAAAACGTTTTTGCTTGTACTTACTGTACATGCAGACCACTTGCAAGCGAGATATCACATCATACTTATTTATGTTAAATTGGATGCATTTCTGGTTAAAAAAGTCAACAGAGCAGATAGGTCGGATGTAATAGCGTATTTCCGTTATTTTCCACTTCGTTTCAATTCTCGATAAAGGCCTTCCAAACCCTTGATTAGGTTAATTTTCAGTAGCATATTTTGTGTGAATTCTGAGCTCCACGTGTGTGTAGATTATTGATAATGTGAAAAAATCCAGGGCAATACTAAAACACCCCTAGGTAATGACACTGTTGTTTAAATGACTAATTTGAAATTTAACTTCTGTGATTCCGTTGCTGATAATAAATGCCTCTGAAGTCCATGTCGAGAGCAGGTTTTCAATGAGTTAATATGGGCATTTCTGAAATTCCCACTTGCCCCTTCACAAGTAAGCCAATTGGAAACCTATCTTGTGTTTGTGTTTATTTTAAGGTAATAGTGAATAACGTAAACTACTTGAAAAGAATGAATTAATCAAATGTCTGATAACCAAAGCCGTGAAGTGGATTTAAATGTTGACACTTCTCGCTTACATAGCGCGTACACGATGCACTAGAAAACATACTCTCCAAATCAAAAACTATAAAAGAAAAAAATATTTCGGCACAGGTGAAGTAAACATTTAAAAAACGACGTGACCAAAAGCCGCCAAGTTTTACTCCCCTCCCCTAACAACACACCAACAATCGTCACATTAGTGAAAGCGAATAGATTCATGTAAATGCGAATTTCATTACTTTTCAAATATTACTAAAATTAGCAGTCGCTACTAATTTTCTACCACTACCACAAAACGAGATCCAGGTATAAAAATAAAAAAAAAATCGAATTTCTCAGCTGTTCAATTTCACGAATTGACGGTGGAGAAGCAGTGGAAATTGTTTTTATTGGAAACGAGGTTAAAGCTTTCTTACGCCACACAAAGCGATGGTACAGACAGAACTCAAGTTTATTTACTTAACACAAGCCCATAACCAAATCCGTGCTTGTTACCGACAGACATACATCCTCTTTACCACACAAAGAAAAAAGTCTGATACTTGAACCGCCAAGGGATTTCTATAGCTGGACGTTAAAAGAATTACAGATTTTCACCAAGGTACCGAAAGAGGGAGATTTCGTCGCTTATAAATGAAGATTCGAATGTCAAAACATTTACTATTTCGCAAAACCGACTCGAACACATTACATGTGCATGTAAATAAAGAAAAAAAAAGAGTTAAATAAAGATCCAGGATAAAAATATGAACGACAACAGTGTCGAAAGGCCCGCAATGGCTAGTTGTTTACTTCCTTTACTCCGGCATTTCGTAAGAAACGGGCAACGTTCCCCATTATAAACTTAAAATGTTCATTTTAGCCGAAAAACCTAAAACGATAGGAGACGTCAATGCCGCACACGCTCCCACACAAGTCGTTAAGTCAAAAAGGGCCATTCTAATAAAACACTTCTTGAACAAAACAAAAAGTGTACACCGAAAAACCGCAGGGCCTACATACACCGTCGTTAGTTTATTTTTTCTGGGTTAGAGTCCAAGTTGACCGAGTTAAAGACAGGCGACAGAAAAATCACTTTCTCCGTGTCAAGCGGAGATGGTGCATTACAGCTAAGAGTTTTACAGGTGCTGGGTACTTGAATCTATTTGTGCAAAAGAATGTTAAGAAGATGTAAAAACACCAAACAAACCCGTAAAGGTGGGCCTTGTTGACCAACAGTTTTATCACAGACAGCCCACGTTGTATGAAAAGGTCAATGCTGTCTGATCAGCCGCCTGCCACAAGGCACATGTGATGTAATACCTGATGCCAGTATTAGTTAGGTCCCACAAGCAAGTGACATTGACATCGAAAGGAATGTTTTATTGTACGTGGAAGAAAATGATTAGAGTGTTAACGGGTAGTTAAAAAAAACATGTAATAAAACCAAGTGGATTGAAGTTCGGTTCCACCGCTTGTTTTTCCAAGGGTACTTAAAGGCTTCTGTAAGAGCTGACTTTCTACCTTCCTTCTCAGACAAAACCCCAAGTTTAGAAGGAAGATGGAAACAGTACTTTTCTGTCTAGTGCTACAGCCTTACCCAGGGTGACACTGAAAGAATTACTTAAGAAAACCTGCAGTATAGGAGACTTGATTACCTCTCATCGTCCATATAGTGCATCTCCCCCCACAATAAGGACACACCACTCATTTTTTTTCCCCATTCGGTTTGTATTTAAACAGAGTTGTACAAGCGTTTCATTAAAAATCAGTTCTTAAGAACATCTAGTAAAATCATATTTAAAAAACGAAGTTACTCATTACAGCTTAACAACTAAACAGAACCAAAAGACTATTAAAAAAACAACTCTGATGCTCACAATCTTCAGCCCCTTCTCCCAGGCCACGTTCCTCTCTTCCCCCCTTTACCAGTTGTATCTTCCTGCAGGGGGTTGCGAAGGATAATTTCTCCCAGAATTATATCCCTAAAACAGATCAGGTAAATGGGAAACCATGGGGTCAGTACAATTACATCACACAAGTCTGTTAGTAGGCAGTGCTATTTTTACAACCATTGACTGTAATGATGACAAGCATTTACTGCTCGGCTCTACAATTTAGATGCAGAGCAGACAATTTAAACGTGGATTTAAAAAATTTGATCCCTCTTTAAGGCAATTTATTAGGAGGGGGGACCTTAAATTCACAACTGCTGTCATGCAAACTTTTAATTCTTCACGTTCCACTGGAAAACACAGTAGTTAAAATTTAGCTGCTGCTTCTCTGGGAGCAGTTTTCCATGACATGGCAGCTTGGTCTTAAAGGCCGATTCACTCATTCAGCCCGTTTAAAAGGGGAAAATGGCTGAGACAGCCATGTGAAACTGCAGTGTTGGCACCTAAAAATGACTTTCAGATTATTTCTTTAAATGCCAACACTTTATACAGTATTACATACGATTCCCTGTTGGATATGCAATGCCCTCACCGAACAGCGGTGGCGTATGTATTAAGATTTTAAAGCTCTTTTCACCATCTGCCAGCCTTTTTCCCATAAAAACTGAACTAAATACCTCCCCTGCCCAACAATGCCTACAATTAAAAACATTTTCAATCCACATTGCCCTCACTGAGAAATGCTTCAATTATACATACAATTGGTCTGAGCTGTATGAAGTTCTAAATCAGGCCCAAATGGATGGAAAAAAATGGCACCATAGGTTAAGATATTTTTTTTCCCCTGCCGTTAAAAAGATCTTTAATTTAGACTGAAAGGTATCAATTGCGGGACAAAACTCTCCCGAAAATAACTGCTTAAGCACTTAAAAAAATGCTGCCAGACTGTCGCAGAAAGCAGTGAAAAGATTTTGGGGCTCATCCGCCCAGAGGCGAGCCGTTTTGGGAAGAGGAAGCCGAGGCCGGGCTACCTGTCGTCCTCGGTTGTCCCTGCGGTCCTGGTGGGGCTGGTACCCGCTCGGGCCCCCGCGGCCCCTGTACTGGTTCTGCTGGAAGGCAGCACCTGTAGACGGCATCCCCTGGCTCCAGCCCCGCGAGGCGTCACTACCGTACTGCCTACACGCGAAAGAGAACAGTCACATTCAGCAACGAACGGACGCAGAGGAAGAAGTAAAACCCGCTCCTCGGTTGGAGTCCCCCGGCAGGACGTTCGCGCATATACTGCAGAGTGTGTCAGCCCGCCTTTCTTTTCTTTTTTTGCC